TTCAGCAAGCTGTTTCTGCATTGCTTTTCTTAGCTAACATAAGACAAATATAACCAAATTTGGGATTCAGAATCAACCATTTTTTTCATTTCGGTCCCCAGAACTTTTCATTATTCCGAACCCTTCAAACAATAGCAGATTCTGAATATTTTCCCCGAAATTTTTTATTATTCCGGACCCCTCCATAAAATCGGGTGCGACATTACGAGCTTGCTGAGTGATTTTTGTTGAGTGTCCTTGAGAGTGGTTACGTCCGCTCCGGATAACGGTTTATTTCTGGGCCAAGTGCTAGGAAAACGTGGGATGTTTTGCCAACTTTAGCCATTAGGGAAAACAAAAGTCTGCGTTGAGCATGGCATGGTATTTGAAAAAATTTGGCAGTACGTCATGTGACTTGAACAACAGCACTGCTTGACCATGATTTCTTGAACGCACGCAGCTGGTGTGGTTGCAGGGGCAGAAAAATGTTTTCCCGCCCACCCATCCCTGCAAATGACACAAACCTGTTTCCTAAACAGGAGGGGGTGTAGGCTTTAACCCGCATGCCCCGTGTAAGGCATAGGCCTGTGCCGTCCCGGGATTGTGAAACGCATCGTGCGTGCAGCCTATATGGAAGCACTTTGATGCATGACTCCCATTGATACAGAGAAGTGTGCTGCAAGCTGTGTCAAGTTCTTAAGCGTTCAGTCGCTGAAGTGTTCTTGTACGAGCTTGCTGAGTGACTTTTGTTGAGTGTCCTTGAGAGTGGTTTCTTAACGGCAAGGTTTGTGGTTCAACTCATTTAGCTCAGAAGTAAGGATTTGTATGTTACGCGCGTGCGAACGCAATAACTTCGTCTGCAGCACCATGCGTCCCAGAACAAAGCAACAAATTGCACGATGTATTTCGAACAGCTTGCATGTGGCTCGAAGCCATTCGACACTTCTACGTCGGGTCAAATTTGTTGCCGACCTTCAAGAAGCAAAGTATGTGATGCATGTTCGAATGATTGGCCGCTGGAAGATAATCATAAACCAAGTGGTCGGAGTGCATACATCCGGCAACAGGTTTGAAGAAGTGAGCAATGAGATCGTAACGCATCAAGGTTTTGCGACACAACGCAACAAACGTAGTTCAGACGTTGCACCTGCACATGTATGATCGGGTAGGGCAAATGGGTTTGGCATGGCAGGTAACTCGAACAGGATCAGAAGGTTTTTGTGCAATCGTTTGAGATGGCCCGGGGCAATGGCAACGACAGCCATGGAAGAAATTTTGTCACGTTTGGACCGCACAGAGGTTCCAACAAAGATTGTCTGCTGTTGGTTTTTGAATATTCTGACGTGAGGCCGACATTTGGGATGTATCGCAAGAGTTGGCCGTACTTCGGGATTGCTTGTTCACAGCCGGGGCTTTGAGCCCGGACGTTTTCAAGGCCCGTTTACATCACAAGCGTTCCTTTGCTTCATTTGGTTTATTTTGAAAAGTGATGAACAATTGGGTTCAAGCCGTTAAGTTTTGTCGTTAGTTGGTGCTCATGTGCAGAAGGTTTCGATGCTTTCCGGCACAGTGTCGAGCCCCACTCGGTGCAGAGCAAAGTTGTGTACTGAGTTTATGCATTGTTTATGCATTGTGTGCGTTGTTTTTGCTGAAGCCCTCCTGGGGTTCCAAGGATGAATCTCTGTACGATGCCCTGGAGCATGCTAATCTTCTCCTTCCAATTGTGCAATTTGCTGGTTTGGCATCTACATATGCGTTGGAAAGATGTTCCCAACAAGCTTGCAGCTTAGTCTGTGCAAGTGATGCATCGTTGTACGTATGTTGCCATGTTTCGAACACAGGCTGTCACAGCGTTGCGACGATTGATGGGTCCGATCAAGGCTTGTTTCACGAAATTGTATGTTTGCGGCGGGTGCCAAAGAAGTACCGATCTTGAAGCAGGCAAGGCCAACATGATGGACCGACTTGAATGAACACGGAGAAGCAGTGATGTTTAGGATGCGAGAGTCGCATGGTGAGGCCAGCCGGGAGTGCCACCATTTATCAACGTTGTCAACACGGCCTGCTGCAACATGTTGGCTTTGATTTCACGTGATGAATGCAAAAGGGATTTTGGGCTCCTTGTTGCATAGGTGGAACGATTGGATTTGAACGGTATCTCGAACGCCATGGCTGCACCTGAATGGGAAGCGCCTGGGTAATGCAGCTGAGGCTAGGAAGCTTGTGCATTTCCTACGCAAATACTGGTCAGCAAAGCTACTGAACATCCCCCTTAAGTGGCTTGAATCGAAGTTGGATCGCTTTGCGGATATGGTGGAAATGGCCTCCGACTTACGGTGTTCGAACACATGTTTGTACCTGTATCCCCCGTCCGGATTTAGCAACTTTCATTGTTCCTTATGCCTGGAAGTCTGTTATTGTCAATCTGTGTTTGAAAATGTTTGTTCATTTGTGTGTTGAGGCCCTCATGAGCAGCCAAGAGATCCACATGACGTCGCGATCAGATGCGCTTGCTGCAGTCCTGCATGGAAATCTGTACATATGTGGTGGGCAGGTTGGGATGTTGACCTGTGCCAACTTGTGAAGCAGACGTGGATGGTCGGAGTGAGTTTTTTGCAGGATGGCTCGGTGGTACTGAACAGCGCATGTCGTTTCCATCCCTCCCAAGGTGACTGGGAGGCCATCTCCTAGGGGTACAATAGAACATACTAGAACGCATCATGTTCTTTCCGAACTCGATACGGCCTTTGAAGCAAAGTTCGGGCTAGGTAAGGGGCCACCACAGGGCTTTGCATGTAGGCTTTCAAATTTTCGGTTTTAGTTGATCCGATTGCAGCTGAGACTGGGAGGCCATGTGCTGGCTTTCCTGCTCATGCGTGATAGCCTTAGACACAATCATGGTGGACATCTAAAAGGTGAAGTTCCTTTAGCCCGAAAAACTGTTTCGAATGCTAAGCTGCATTTCGTTACAGCGTAGCTTGCTTGCGGTGTAGTAGGGCTCATGCGGTCTCAGCAGCAGTAGCACCAGGTACAGTCAATGTCACTTAGCCTGTGCTGACCTTCGTCGTTTCGGATTTCTTTTCGGGTTCAGCCTTTCTTTTCGTGACTTGTTTTTGCCATGATTTCGCCCACAGTTTATCAAAGTCACTTCTTGGTATATCGCCTCATGCACATGGGCCAATGCACCGCGTCCTGAACAATCTTGAAGTTGAAGTCATGCCCGACTTCCCTTAATTGCATACTCACCACACTGAAATCTAAAATCACAAGCCGTAGCCGCCAACCAAAAGCGCTGCTCAGTGGTTCCACTCAATTTGGTCCAATCCCCGTCCTAGACCCCAAACTCATTCCGTAACTCTGGACGTCACGGAAATGGTTCAAATCAACGCCATAATTCCTGAACCTTTAGACTCTAGACTTACATCATTTATCCACATTCCCGCCCTTTCTAAATTCAACATTCTACATAGTCTATCACCCTTTGACCTAAACTTTAGACAGTATAGTTTGTTCGACACCCTAGTTACACCATAATCTAGGCTCTACAGATTTTGTACACATCTCCAGCCTAAAGACCCACAGAGTTCGTTCAACCTAAACTCTTGACTCTGGGCACAACATGTAAGGTCAAAGAAGCTCACCCTAGACCGTAAACTTCAGACCCCAAAGACTTCTTTCATATCTCCACCTTAAATCCCAAACTTCACGTAGGTCCTGCAGATTTCTGCAAATCACTACCACAAGCCTCAAACTCTGGACCCAAAGCACTGGTGTTGAAATCCCGACTCTTACCCCCCAAGCTTTAGATCCTGCACCCTAACTCTGAAAGTGCAGACGCTACAGATTTGTTAAAAAATCCCCATCCTGAGCCCTAAGCTCTAGACCCTTGTGCTCGAAGCATCCTGATACATTCAATTCTTGGCCCCTCCTGAACTTTGTTCAAATCCCAACCTTCTAAACTGGGGACACGTCACTACATTCTCAATTCGCGCCCCGAGAAAAAAACTCTTGACCCGGCCGGTCTTTGGATCCCCTGTCCATATAATCAAATAGTTGTCGACGGGATGGCAAGCCTTACCCAACTCTATGCTGCATGAAAGTTCCAAAGAAAGGGCAATAACAACACACAAACAATAGTGTGGACATCTGCTTTGAGAAAAGCCCTGGCAGGTGCTGCCATCCATGTGGCAGGGTCGCTGGAATGCAACAGGACAAGCATGGACAAGCATGTTTGCTTTTGAGAGGTCAACCTGCCTGCCGCTTGATCTCCAAGCATGTGCCAAGTGACACAGGAGGTGCTGTGGATGGGTGCCTTTACGTTTGTGGCGGTGCTGACAACAGCCGCTCGCATTGGCGCTTGTTCATCCGATTCTGTTTGCAGTGCTGCTGACATCTCAGCTGAGGTAGCCCTCTCAATTCCTGCGAACGTTTTAATCCTGTGACGCATGCATGGGAAGTCATGCATCCCATGCTTCGTCAACGTTCCGGTCCTTCGCTTACATTTCAGCAAGTTGAGCTTAGACCTTGAGGTCGCTCGAAGGGCTGCATACGCTGCCGGTCCGAGGTTCTGTCAGCGCAGCATTAGGCAGAGCATTGCTTGTGGCGGGTGGCGGTGATGGCCAACAGCCTTTGAGCGTTTTGCTTAGCACTTCTGAGTGAGTAGTCATGTCGTCGATTTTTAAAAGCATGCGTGCTGTGGTGCTGTGAGGCTCTGCAGAACGACTCTCCTCATCTGACGCGTCGAGCTGGGAAGTAATGCGCTAAGGAATGCTGAAGCTGGCAAGCGAAGTTCTATTCGAGTGGAAAGCATTGTTCTTTTTCGCAGTTTGGCCCAGGTGTTGCCTGCAATGGCTCATCGTCGGATTGGTGCTGTTTGTGCCGTTCTTGCTGGGCGCTGGCAACGTTGCAGCAGTGAAGTAAAATATTTGTTGAGGACTGTTTAACTTGAGAATTATGACTTGTATTTAGTTTTGTTTTGTTGTCAGGTTCTCTGGTTCTCTGGTCCTCTGATCCTCTGGTCCGGCGGTCTCTGTTGCCAGGTCCTTTGGCGTCCCACGAGATTATTGTATTTTCCAGCACCTCGAGTTCTTGAACAGCTACGGATCTACAAGTTTCAGCATTCGCACTTCTGCAAATTACAGCATTTGGAGCTTTTGAAAGGCTGCGAGTCCGGCCTACGCCATATTGTAATGCAAGCAAACTGCTGAGGAATTCCGCCAAAAGCATGCAAGAAATTGAATCCTCGCATTTTATGGGCGGGACGTGCCCCCACTGTTTCTAGATGCAAACGATGTTTAAAAGGTACATGAAAGGTGCGCAAGAAGGTACATGTTCTGATCTTTGCCCAGGTTTTGCAAATGGGGGTGGGGGCCCGTCAGCCCTCGTATGAAAGGTGTGCAAGAAGTTACATGCTCTGATGTCATGTTTGGCCTGCGGCGCTGCACCCCCCCGCGCCTCCCCAGCCCCCGCCGCCTTGTACTACGAGCACAATGCTAAGAACCCCCATGAAGGGTGTGCTTGTGGTGATGCCAGGAGGCTATCAACTTGATGTAGCCGATCTGAGTGTCCTACAGAGCTGGCCGAATAAAGTTGGCCGCTTTCTTTTTCCATGCACTCCTGTGTTGCAACTGATATGTAGCAAGCTTCTGTTGCACCCTGAGCTCTTCATGGAATCTTCATGAGAACTTGTGTTTTTTTCTGCTTTTTCATCTCAGGTATGTTTGTGGAGGTGGGGATGGCCATCGTGTGCAGGGCTGTGCAAGTAAGCTATGCAGTGAAGCCATTTCATGAAATGTGCATGGATTTGGAGTGGCGCCAAACAAGGTGCTGGATTCTGTAGAGATGTTTGATTCAAAGCGCTGCTGCTGGGAGAAGCTTGCTCCAATGATGTGTCCCCGCCTTGCCTGGCCTGATTCACCAGTGTTTTTCCTCAACTCGCAGATGGCAGATTGTTGAGATGCCAGTGACAGGTTGGGGCAGCGTGGTGGGTGTGCTGGGCGGCTGCTTATGTGCGGCTTGACACGACATAGGTTGTTGAGTTGACAGGCCCTCGCATGCCGCTCGCCATGGCGCATCAGCATTGGTGGTTGTAGTCCGCACTAGCGTGTGTGGAGTGATGCTTGGGAGAAGACATAAGCCGTCGCATCCTGTGCTGGTACCTACCACTGGCTGATCTTTACATACTTCTCTCATAAACGATGTTTAAGCATGTTTTGCACTTTTCTACCTCACCTCAGGTATGTGGAGGCGGCACGGGCTTGACTGTGACACTGGCATGTTTCGAAGCTATTCGAGGCTCTCCCAAACTTGAAGTGCAGCATGCTGTAAGCGGGCATCAGGGAATTGCCAGGTGCTCCGTTCAGCAGAGCGATACGACCCCAGCAGCGGTGTTTGGGAGGACTTTGTGTCTCAGCTGCCCGTTTGTTCTCCTGGACGGCAAGTTTTCGCCTCTTCCGAGAAATGGGAAGCAATAAATCGGGCAGTCAACACAACTAGACTAGCCGTGCAGTAAAGGATGCCGCCATCTCAGCAATCATGGTGCACGACGGTCTGAACCAGTGGTGGGAAATCTCCATTTACAGAAGGTGTCGTTGTTGCTTCAAACCGTTCTGTGGTCATCCCAGATCCGTGCCTGGGCCGTGATCTTTCCTGTCAAACCCCCCACTCCATAAAAATGCGTCTTTGGCGGGACTAGTTCCAGGCTGACAAATGGAGATATAGGTCGCAACCTATCTATGGTGAGAGGACACTCCCTAAATGAGCAATTAGCCGCCCGGTCGAGTCAGGACATGGAAGATCTGTGCTCTAGAGCTCACACCATCATGGTTAAGAAGCACCATGGTATACAAAGCCAGAGGAATTTGATTGGGTGATCGAATGAATGATCAGATGAATGAGGCTGCTGTCTTTACTGATCTAAGCAGCCCTCCTACGTCATTTGAGGCTTCTTCAAAATTTCAGAAGTGGAAGGGTGAACAGAGTCTCAGAGGGGCATATCCTCAGGTTTCCCATTTCTGCTTGGGAATTTCGCCCAAACACCATGCTGCTGTGTTGGTGCGCAGCTGCTATGCTGCTGCTTTCCTCAGAATACGCCAGTGTATGCCTGTTTGAGGTCACGCCTTCGTCGGAATTACTACGTTAAAAGAGAGAGCCCCGGACTCTAAATTCCCATGATGCTAGCAAGACACCCCCCTCCCCCGCCTCCACCCCATACAGTTTTCTGGAGAAATGGGGCCAGCCAAATAATGACCCCCCACTCACACTCCCGCCTGAAGACTGTGGAGTATCAGCTGTCAGAGATGACTACCGTGCGTTTTTCGCAGAGCTGGCGAAGCTTAACGAAGCCTTTCCTGGGAAGGTGTAAGCTCTTCAGACCATAAATAAAGCCAAGGTTGAAGACACGGAGTATGAGCCTAGGTCCTAGTAGTCGCAGTTTCCAAAGCCTTTTCTATACATCTCCCTTCAGCATGAGGCGTCTTCAGCAGGCTCAAGAGATAGATTAGCATTATGCTGTTGGTCCTACATATGAGGTGTTTGATTTTTGCTAATGTTTCGAGTCAGGATGGCTGCATGAACTCGTGACATGCTGTGCTAGCTTGCGTGACACCATGACGAGCAAAGTTGTACCCTTCCCTCCGCTCCAAAGTCTTTGAGCTTGCTGCAGGTCTACCTGTGGGTGGTAGTGCTCATCGGGAAGATGTATTTTGAAGTGATCGTACTCATAGTTTGCTGTATGTAGTTGGAGAACGGGACGTTCCCGCCTGTCTATTTTCGTTCATTTTTCTTGGTTTTCAAAGATTCCCGAGGGGTGGGGGGGGGGGGCGGGTAGGNNGGGGTGGGGGGGGGGGCGGGTAGGGGGGATGTAGTTTCGTTCTGTTCGGACGCATGCTGCCCCCTCCTGGTGGTGATTCAAGCTGTGCGACCTAGCACATGCACGTCTGTGGGTGGATGGCACTGGCCGTGACAGCGGTACTGCAGCTGCGTCAGGCGGCAGAGTTGAGTGAGTGAGGGGCCCACAAATACCCTCATACAGGTCCGAAACAGAGTCTCTGGAAGATCCCTTGAAAACGTGGTCGGAAGCATCGTGTTTTCACCTGAAGTTGGGGGGGACTGCGCCCCTCCCGTAACCCCCACATATGATATTCTTTGGAGCAATTGCTATGCCTTGCAAACTCCATCAAAACCCAACAGCACGGGATTGTGCACTCACGACTCCTAGCGCTTGGAAGCCCCGCGAATATGCAGGAAGATAAATTGCACGAACAATGCCAAACGATCTTATCAAAGGCGTGTAACAAGATACAAGTTCTGAACCCCCTCCATGTTTTTGCAAATGGGGGGGGTTGCGCCGCCACACCAACC